CACAGCACTCTCTCCAGACCCTCCAAGTTCTCTGGTTTCAGCACTGTAGACATTTTTCTTCCTTATTCCATTAGACTCGAGCTCCTTGGAGGCAAGGAACCATGTCTTTTTTGTTCTTTTTTTAAGACCAATGTTCCATTAGCCTCTCACCCTGTGCAGAACAAAGACCAGGGCTTTTGATGTTCCTTAGTGGCCCTTCAGTCTGTCTTCAGACTGTCTCCATTCTGGTCTTGTCTGCCACCACCAACTGTGTGCCCTCCGCTCTGGCCTTTTCTGCGGCGTGCGGTTTTTGGGGCACGTTGCGGGAGGACTGACCACACATACTCTGTTTACATGCCACTTCCCTTTCTGAAATGCTGTGTACTGGTGGGCACTTTGTTTTCTTCAGGAAAGTGTATTCTTTTCATCCAGTTTTTAAAATGTATATGTTTCAGGCACACACCCCAAAAAAGAGAGTAATGCGGCAGTATCCTGTGTATGTATTCAGTATAAACAGAAGAAATATGTATGTGTGTGTGTGTACATGAGGTGTATATATGAGAGAGAGAGAACATGAGAGAGACACACACACACACACACACACACATCGAATCCCTTCTTTCTTCCTCCTTGATTCCATTGCCTTGCCTTCTTTCTCAGTAATGGCCATCCTCTGTGTAGTGTGTATCATCTCCATATACATTTTACTATTTCCTATGTTTGCTGTAAGGGATATATAATAGTCTTTACCTTTTTAAAACACTGCATAAATAACATCACCTTGTTCGAATGCTTCTACAAGGGTTTCTTGTACAGCAACCATGTTTTTGGGACTTAGTTATATCATTATGTCTGGTTTTAGATTGTTTTAAATTACCCATAGTATTTTGTTGCATGAATATCCCACAGTTTATTTATCTATTCTATTCTTGGTCAGTGTTTTTCCCAGTGTTTCATTATTAATCAATTTGATGAGCATTCATGTACAAAAAGAAAAATCTAGTCTTTTTCTAATAAAAAAATATTCTGGCAGCTATACCCTGACTGAGTGAATATTAAGCACACTTGAAAGGCAGTTTCACTTACCTTTAAAATCAGAATTGTCCTCTGATATAAATACCATGTATTACTTACATAGCACTAAGCTAGGGCAGGCACAATGAATGCAAAGCCTTAGGCAAAAGTGACTCTTCTCAGCAATTTGCAAGTCATGACTCATATACATTTAGGTCATTGGGCCTTAAAAATGCTAAATGAAAGCCAAAATTAAAATTAAAAAAACTAAAATTTTGAAAGTACTAGCTGTAAGACCTGGGGGAAAGTCTATTCATTTGTAGAAAAATAACAGTGTGAAGTGTGAATTCTCTGTTTCTCATTCGTGATAGAACACCAGAAGTGGCCTCAAATCATCTGTGCTTACACCAACTCGCTTCAAAACAGCTGGAAGCAGTAGCCACAGCTAGTTAAGGTGGCCATTTCAACATGAGTGCCCTTAATAGTCAGATTTTCCATTATGCCCAAGTGAAAGAGCTTCTGTTTGAATTGAAGCTGACTTCCTTGTTTTGTCTTCTACTAACAAGGAAAGAGGATTGTTAGTATTCTCTTTTAAAATAAATAAACTAGCCTTTCTTCTCCAAAGGAAACAATTTTACATCCTTTTTGCTTTGATTCCTAGCACTCATTCAATATTTTTCTTTTACTGATGATGAAAGCGATCATAGATTACCTCTTCCTGTCCTTCTCTGAAGTTACACTCTCAGGACAACGAATTCCATTTGTTGGACCCATAAAACAGCACCTGAGTTCTGGTTTCTTGCAAATTCAACAAAATGTGCCGCGTGGCTTCACTTGTTCCCTTCAGGCTAACACAGCTCGCTTCTTCAGGGCCATTGCTTTCCCTTTTAATTTGGGCATCCAGTTTATGCTCCTGAGTCCTGCCATGCACTTTGCTACAATCCAGAGTTCTTTGTCTCAAAAAACTTCTGAAATTCCATTTATTCCAGAAAATGTACTGCAGCCAATTAGACTTTTATTAATTTCCCTCTTCATTCTTTTCCCATGTGAATATGCATTATACAATATCCCAATATATTTTTACCTTTTTGTATCACCTGCAAAGTAATCTGTATTGAAAAGTATATGCCGCAGTGCAGTTCACTATTGTGTCTGGTAATTCTTTTACTTAGCAGTCTTCCTTCAAGGAATTTATCCTATAGGTAGTCTCCCCTCAGGTGGGCCCAACACTGTGTACAAGGATAGTCTCTGCAGTGCTATTGATGATACAAAAAACTGGAAATATTGCAATGATTGATAACAGACTAAATTATGGTTTATCCGTATGCTTAGGTATCAGGTAACTGGCACTCAGTAAATGTTTGTTGAATGAAGCAAGGAATATATCGTGAAGTAGAAAAGGTACAGGTATAGAACAGTTCATATTTTGTGAAATAAAAAAGTGGATGTAAACAGACGTTTATTCCCCAATGCACATAACATTCTAGAGTCATGTACAATAAACTGCTAACATTTGTTACCCGTGGGTCATGGGAATGGGCTTGAGTAGAAAGTATTTACTTTTAACCTTAAAAAGGAAAAAACAGAACAAAACTAAATTCAGATGGAGAAGATTCAAAAATGAAATGATTGAAAAAATGCACATACCCTCGTAGACTGAATCTTATTTTCTGCTTCTTTATGAAATATGTTTATTCCACTCTTCTCACTTTGCCTATTTTGCCTCTGTGCTCTGCCTTCTGTTTAGAAATGGTTTATCTCTTGCACAAATCTTTTTTCTTCAAGACTCTATATAAGATCTAACGCCTTTGTGAAACTTTGCTCTGCTATTTCATTTCAAAGAACTCTTTCTTAAACGTATACTTAGTACTTAATAGTATTATATGATTTCACACTTACTCATTTAGTAATTTTTCACTTATTTTTTCTTTCAATTGGATTTGAGTATAGATTTAGAGAAGTTTCTTGCCTCTGTTATATTGCTTTGTATAATGTCCAGCATTACCAATAAGTGTCTAAGGCATTTTTATTCTTGATAATGTTAAAACTTAATATAGAAAGAATATTTAGTAGCCTGTCTTCAGTGGCCATCCCATTTAAACCACCTGAAATAACTAGGAGTTTTCCTAAATAGGTACTCACATAATATTTTATTTCACAGGGTGTCAGTAAGAAATACTTAAAATAATGTTTTTGGCATTTAAAAAAATAATACAAGTTAATCTCAAATTTATATGGGAAAGTACATGGAATCAGAATTGCCTTTATTTTTAAGTTGCCATCTAGCCCAAAGAAGAATTCTTTTTGTTTTTTAAAAAGAATTATTTATTTATTTTTGAACAGAGGGGAAGGGGGGAGGAAGAGAGGGGGAGAAACATCCATGTGTGGTTGCCTCTCACGCCCCCCAACCCTACCCAGGACCTGGCCCATATCCCAGGCACATGCCCTGACTGGGAATTGAACCAGCTAACATTTGGTTTGCAGGCCAGTGCTCAGTCCACTGAACCATACCAGCCAGGTTGGAATTCTTTATTCGTTAGCCACAAGAGGCTTAATAGTATAATCATATAATTATGTATATTTGAAGCATTTGGGATTGTTTTGTCTTCATGGTGAACTGGCCCGTTTATCATCATCAAATCTCTCTATCTCGAATACAATAATGTTCTTGTCCTGAAGCCTACTCCAATATTAATAGAACCATTCCAGCTTTGTTATGATTAGTGCTTGTCTTTTTTGCATCATTTCAGTATTAACTTACCTATGTCTTTACATTTACAAGTGTGACTCGTAAACAGCGTGTTTACGGGTCTTGCTTTTTATCCAGTCTGACAACCTCTGCCATTTAACTGAGTGTTTGGTCGTTTATGTTTAATGCAAGTTAACTTTATCCTTTGACAATCGCCATTTTAGGTCTGTTAGGATACAGTTTGGAATGGAGTAATTTGCACTCTGGGTCAGGTTAGCTCCACTTCCGCAGCAGGGCCTTTCCGAGAGTTCACCTGAACACCCACGTTCAGTGCGTTCTCTCCAGCTCCTGGGCAGGTGTGTACCTGCCACCCCGGGCGGGACCTTTCTCCAGACCACACAGCTCCGTGTGTAGCCACGGAGCTCAGGAAGACCCTCCGGCAGGTCTCTGGACCTCCCTCTTACGTTTCTCTCTTATCTAATAATCTGCCCTGCACATTCCAGCTGCCACAGCGGCCGCAGATCATGTCTCTGTCTTCTGAGCTCAGTACAGTGCTGAGTATGTGCTGTTCGTGTCCCGCGGCTCTGAACCGCACTCCGGACTGTTTCTCTGGGTGGAAACTCATCGTGTGTAGATCTTTTGTTTTTAGGGATCAGACTTCTGCACTTCACATGTTACGTAACATCTGAAGACTGTCCTTTCATATATTTTGTCCAGTTTCTTAGTTGTTTACAGCAAGAGAGTTATTCAGTACCAGGAAATTCATCATGGTCAGCGGCAAAAATCTTATAACATGTATATTTAAAGTCATTCTTTTTGAGAAATGTGAATATAAAGCTATAGTACTAAATCATAGACTCTGTATTCTTCTAGAGAAATAATCTAATCCAACACACTTAATTGAAAGATGAGAAAACTGAGGTACCACAAGCTTATGGGCTTGTAATATAGATTTACACTGTGAGTTACTCACAGATGCTTCCTAACCCAGTTTTTCTAAATCTCTGTCAGTACTTTTTCCACTGTAGTAATCTTCTGAAAATTCCTCCTGTGTTTGAAATATAATTTTAACATGGCAATTTTTTTATACTTTAGAATCCTTATAATTTAAACATTTTCCTCACTTTATTTTTTGTTATATCACTAGTATTGTTAATCCTGCTATTAACATAGGAGCAAAAAAAATCATGGCAAGTGTATTTTAGAATGAGCGGCATTCTGTGGAACCCTCTAATTCCACATATGACCTAGAAAAAAATGTACTCAGTTGTTTTAACATAAATGGGGTTTTTATTTGTTTGTTTGTTTGTTTTTTCAGTTTATTTTCCTTGCTGTCTAAAAAACACAACAAAGTTCTGGAACAAGCCACACAGTCCTTGAGAGGTTCACTAAGTTCCAGTGACGTTCCTCTACCAGATTATGTAAGTAGTTATCTTACTTTGTCGATAAAAATTTTCCTTTCACTTGCTGAGTTTATGAGTAACAACATCCCTGTCTTCTCAAGACCTGCCTGTGATCCTGGTGCCCTAGAAATCCCAGATATGCACAGAAGGGAGTGGGATCTCAAATCAAGAGGAAAATGTAGTGGTTATTCACAAATGGCTGAAGAAAGTCAATCCTAAAGCAATGACTTTAAATAATTAGGACTCTTACTACCTTAGTCAAGAAGCTCTGTGTAGTGACAGAAAAATAAAAGGAGGGTTTGCATAGGAAGTGTGCAGAGGTGTCTCACTGGAGGCGGGGTGTAAACATGGATTTCACAGAGAATGAGAGCCTGATATGGAAAAGCCATTGGATTCGGGAATGTCCTGTCTTTCCGAGGCCATTTAGTTTATGTTCTCCGCTGCTTTTTGCTTCAGTGTTATTCCTCTGCCTCCCGTAGGCCAGTTTCTCTACGGGCCGACTGAAACAGCAACCCCAGCTCTTCCTCTTCCTACTTCCCAACCTGCAACACGTCCTTGTCAGTGTCATCGTAGCTCGGAGACCAGAGTCTGGAGGCCCAGTTCCTGCTTCCTGGGAAAGAGACTCTGACTGGCTCTGCTCAGTGTGCGCAGTGCGCTGCTCTGGTCTCGTCAGCGTGGTCAGCAGAGAACCGCAGTACTGTGTCACCTCTGTTCATCACCTTAAAGATGAGGGGCGCAGTTCCACCTGACCTCGGGACAGTGATGGAGTAGCGTGACATAATACCTGGGGGGGAATGCCTTGTGAGCTCTCGTAGGGCGGGGCCGCTACCTGTGACATTCCTGATGTGCTAAACGTGATCTCGTCATGAGCCGCAGAAGCGGTTAGTTCATCAGGCTCTAACGAGCAGCTCCCCAAACTCTTGGCAGCAACGTAGGGGGTTGGTACTTAGAAACTTTAGGAGAGAATTTCTAGATTCTGTTTCGAAGTGGCAATGCATACCAGACAGCCGGAGAGTTGTTTTGTTCGTTTCCTGTGGTTCTTTTCATTTCTAAATGGCAGGGCTGATAGGAGACTGTGGGAACGGCCCCCAGTCCGGACGGCCGTCGCTGATAAACAGAGATAGCTGTGTGCGGCCGCAGCCCACTGGGGCTGTTTTTCTCCTCTGTTATTTATTTATTCTGTGTGTGTGTGTGTGTGTGTGTGTGTGTGTGTGTGTGATATGATCTGTTGGCCCATCAAGTTTATAATTCCAGGCAACTCTTCTCTCTCACACCCGTACACATGCACAGAACAGTTATTTAGATTTTCCTACCAGTTGAATATTCTCAACTTCTTAAAAAATTAGTATAATAGCTCGCTTACTTCTGTCCTTGCCATGACTTGTTAAAAGGAAAATATTTCCTCTTACTGGCTCCTTGGAAGCCTCAGTTAAGGTCAGAGTGGCAGCGGGGATTGTGTTTGTTAAGAATTTGAATTGGGTTCGTCTTTAAAGGTTCTGTTATTTTTGTACAAATAACCATTTATTTGACCTACGCGGTGCCTCTGTGTCAGTGTTTCACAGACGTGTGTTGGATGTGCATAGTCCTGAGGTCAGTGTAGCAGCGGTCCCCTCTGAGAAGAATCCAGAAAACTGATATTCCTTTGGGAAGGCGGGTCGTATTTAATAGTGTCTTTCCAGTTATGGAGGTGATGAGGCAACAAGAGGACATCGAACTCGGTAACAGACACATGAACTCCCCCATTGAACTTCACAGTTTTTAGAGTCACTGACTGTTTTCTTGCGTGAAATTTTCACTAGGTGAACGTGAATTTCTTAAAGCATCTGCTTCCTAGAAATACTGGGGAAATTCCATTTGGAATCTGTTATTGAGAGTCTATTTTAACATTTGTGTGTATGATACTTTACAAATCACGACATTTTTCCAAATGGAAATTCAAATGAACTTGAGTGGCAGTTCATTCCATTGCTCAAAAATTACCGAAGTGATTTACACATTTGAAACCATGTTCTCATTGTCATTCTCTTTTAAATTGGTCATTAACTGGGAAATAAAAAATGTTCCCTCCTCTTGTTCCCCAGAAATTGTACTGAAGTGTCTTTGCCAGCCAACAACTGCATACGATTCCGAGTCCTGGATTCGTGCCTCAGACCATGAGTCTGTACACGAGGAAAAGGGAAAACGGGAGGGTCTGAGGGCAGCAGTGGGTTCCCTGGTGGACACTTTCTGTACCAGGAGCAACTACGTTAGCAAAGATTGTGAATTAGTGCTTAAAATAAGGGTATATGTTTGCCTTCTCAATTGATAGAGTGCTTTCTACCCAGAGGTTTCTGAGTTCATTAAGAAAATGTTTATTCTCATTATACTATATAATTCACAAGTCTATTGAGTAACGACGTAAAAAGCAAATAGCAAGTTACAAAAACATCAGTATTACTACTGTAGTACAAGAATGTCTGCGTGAATGTCTCAGGGGCAACCTGAAACCTTCCACCAAGTTCTGGATGATGAGGAGACGCCCTGGCTGCTGGAGGGGGAAATAAACAGAAATTGCACACGGCTCCTCTGCGGGGAGAGGGTGCTGCTGGCCGTGCTCGGCGAGAAGGGCATTTAGGAAAGAGGGGACGTTCCGTCGATGGAGCTAAGCTTCGCCGTCTCTACATCAGGGTTTCATAAAATTCAGTTCAGTGACTGAAGCAGAGGATTATTGAAGGAGAATCTTTCAATAGTTTTAAAAAAAAATAACAATAAACCTCTCAAGCAACTTTGGTCATACACAGTGGAACCTCAATATAGAAAATGAAACAAAAAATAATAAATGAGTTATAGCTGCTTTTTTGACTAGAAGAATGGTTTTTAATTATGAACGTCGTCACAATGTCATGAGAGCTCTGTTTTCCTAACTTCCAACCATCACCTTGCCATCTCATCCCCGAGAGGAGAGGAATGGAGCGTGTGTTCTGGGTGGAGCCGGACGGAGCCAGGTTGTATTGCCTTTGATCATCAAAGGGCTTTTACATCTTTCCTTAGGACAGAGTCTCCCATTTCATTCCAAGCAATGAAACGCAAAGGCACAAGCCAGAGAGAGCAGGAGCCAGAATCAGAAACATCACTTCCTTTCCTGATGACACAGCTAGGCAGCATTCTCCAGCACCCGTGCCTCCCGACAGGGGCGTCTGGCTGGCTTTCGCCAGTGGGATGTGGGTGGCAGTGATGGCACCACTGCACCGTCTCCCCACCTCTCTCCCCCTCGTCCCCTCCGAGCCAGCAGCAGGAAACCCAGCGAGAGCCTGGGGTCTCAGAGGATGGCAGAGTCCAGAGCCCTGAACCGTCTCGTGGAAGGTGAACTGAGCACCCTGTCGGCCTGTGAGGCACTCAGCAGCTGTACTTTATTTACTGCATTAAAAAATGTGGGCAAAGGAACCTAATGGACATTTTTCCAAAGACATACAAGTGACCAATAAGCACATCTAAAGATGCTCAACATTATTAGCCATTAGGAAAATGCAAATCAAAACCATAAGTTCACACCCACTAGGATGACTGTAATCACAAAGGCAGATAATCACATGTGTTGGCAAGGGTATGGAGGAATTAGAATGCTCATATAAACTGCTGGTGAGAATGTAAAATTATGCAGCTGCTTTGGAAAACTGTGTGCAGTTTCTCAAAAGACTAAACAAAGAATAACCATATGACTCAGCATATGGTAATAAATACCCCTAAGAAATGGAAAACACATGTTCACCCAAAAATGTGAATGTTCGTAGCACCATTATTCATGATGGTCCCACAGTGGCGACGACCCAAATGTCCATCACTGGCCCATGAACAGATACAAGGTGGTGTGTCCATACAGGGGAATATTATTCGACAGTTAAAAGGAATGAAGTACTGGTGCTTCCAGTGGACAAACCTTGACCACATGCTGAGTGAAAGAAGCCAGTAGCAAAAAAAACCACACAGGCAGCCCTCACGGAGATAAATAGTAGATGTTTTGAGGTGGGGAGTGACCGCTAATGGGGTGACGAAAACATTTCAGAGTTGGACTCTGGGGGCAGTTGTACAGCCCTGTGAATGCGCTGAAAAAACCAGTAAATTGTATGTTGTGATTCGGTGAAGCGCAGGGTGTGTGGATTTTCTCTCAGAGCCATTAAGAAAAGTGGTCGTACTTGGAGCACTAGAAGAAAGTAGGAAGAAAGAGAACTGTTCATTGAATGTAAGAGCAGATAGCTTTCAGCCTGGCAGCATTGTGGATGGTATGAGGGTGTAAATGTAGGAAAATAAACGTGATCCTTTGAAAAAGTTAATATATTCAAAGAAGGAAAACATGTTTCTTGTAGAGTGGCTTGACTTTAGAAACTCCTAAAGGCAATTAGATAAACGGTTACAGGGTGTTTTTCAGCCTGGTTTAAGAGCAAATAAATGGGAACAAGCAAAATGCCCATCTGTGAGGGACCGATTAAGTAAAGCATAAATTCATCCAGTGCAATAATATTGTGCAGCCATTTTTTAAAGAGTGACTTCAGTCCATATGGGTTTATCTGAAGAGATACCACACTCAAATCGGTTTTTCAAAACCCATACTTTATAGTACACAGGTTGATGTACGTGTGTGCTTGAAGTATGTATGCAGTTTTTCTGGCATAATGTACAAAAATGATTAAATACCTGTGGGGAGTCAGACTGAAGGGTAAAGGAAGTGGAACTCTAGTTTTTACATTATGTTCTTCTTCGTAGGTGTAGACCTTGAAATCTTTTTCAAGTACGCACACAATTTACTTTCCCCTCTTGCTTCTTTGTCTTTTCTTTATTATTTCAGATAATTCTAGATTTACAAAAGAGTTTTAAAAAATGTCCCCATATCCTTCACCCAGCTTTCTCTTTCGTAAATGTCTTACATAACCAGAGAACATTTATCAGAACTAGTAATCTGCCCTTGGTACAACAGTGCTAACTCAAACACAAATCTCTGACCATCACCAGCTTTGACATTAACGCCCTTACTCTCCCCTGGG